TTGATATTGATTGCTCCAAGTGCCACGACCACTGCATCTCGAATTGACGCTGGACCCACGGAGAGTAGTGGAATAAGGTACTTGAAAAGAACCCTTGCGGAAGTGATCTTCTCTAATGCTTGGTTTGGCTTCGAACCTTTTCGGTAGTGTTGCGTTATTGGCGGCGATGATTGCTGCTGGCCACCCTTGTCAGAGAGCGTGGTGCATGCAACGATAAGATAGAGCTTCCATTGTTCAATGAGTACTTCTGGTGGGGTAGTTGATGACCTTGACAATAAGCGGCCGCTCCCAGTGTCATAGCCATATTGCGGGCCACGATTTGCTTCTGACAATACAACGATACCTCTGTACATCTGAAGGATTCGATTACATATCAGTTCCCGTCCCAGCGTCACAGCGAATGGACAACGATCGTAACTGATTCGTATTAAATTCGGAAAGATTTTGAACCATAGAGTGGTGTCATAAGAGACATCGCTGCTGCAAAGCTCAATCAAGTCACTCTCATTCCTTTCTGTCAGGTCTGTCTTCTGTAAGCCACGTTGCAATCTACTTCGCTCTGCAACAGACAAGGTCTCGTCATTGAAATCCATTACTCCTTTGGCATCCCCTTCAAGGATATGTATCAACCGACCATTGTCCTTACCCAGGGCAGTGTCAAATTCTGTGATCAGACGCAAGACTGTAACTGCAAAGGCACGTACTCGCCTTGACTGTGAACATAAGAAGAACAAGCCATGCGACTCGACCTCATCAACATGTGCCCAGATCCCAGACAAATCTAGTTGAACGCCCCTCTTGTCGGCAGACCCATCTTCTGAGACATCCGATGCAGCGTCCTTCATTTTGTTTTTGATCTCTTCAATCCAGATCTGAAGCAGCTCCACATAGAGCTTCAGAGTATTCTCAATGTGTCCTGGGCCAAGCATGCCACCATCAGACATGGTAGAATATCTGTCATCAAAAGTGAAGATAAAACGAGCAAACCCAATGGTAACCGGCTGAGCGTGAGACTGTCTAGCAATTGATTTCAAAGACTGTGCCGATGACTCTGCAATATTATACTGCACGTGAGCGGTGCCGGTGCAGAGGAGATTCACAAGAATGCTGAATGGTATATCGGCTGACAAACACCTAGGTAGTGCTTGTACTGCAACATGAAATAGCTCGTAGAATCCTTGTTTTTGCTCTGATGGAGTTAGGTGGTCGTCTCGGCGAAAGTTGAAGCTCTCAGCCAGTGGGGTTTTGGGTATGGGTCCATTGAACTTTTCGTCCAACACGGCTTGACCTCCAAAAGTATTGTCGCAGATGATAGTAATTTTACCTAAAATTTCACAAAATTTCGCGTAATATTCTTTGGCGATATCACCAAGTGTATTGGTAATCACGGGTCGCGAGAGTCTTTCTTCCCGGCTGGGAACTACTAGAGACGGGGTAATGGGGCTGCGAGGTGCTGTCATAATGGGTGAAGTCGGCATCCTTTCGAAGACTGGTAACGGTGAGTAGTGCTGTGGAAATGGTGGACAGCCTTGTTCACCCTTCTCTAGATCTGACATGATGGCAAGGAACGCTCGAATCCCTACAACCATTTTTTCTGGTTCTAACTGTTCGACTTTGAGTTCCCGCCCAGAAGCGAATAAGTCTGCATTAATTAAAGGGAAGACTATCGTCCGGAAACAGAAATCTTGATACTTGAAGCCAATGATGCGTATGATCTGGATTAATGGTTCGATGATTGACGAATCCGTTGAGATATAGGACTTCTTGCCAGGAGGTAATACAAGTCTCATGACGTCTTCTAGTTTTTTGATTGTGGCATTTGTGGGTTCATTTGTGCGGTGTAAATAGGTCCATACAAGCCTCGAGATCACCTGTAGACAAATTGGTCTAGTTCTTGGTTCCTTCATTTTTGCCTGCAAGGGCAATACCAGCTGGAGCCATTGTGTTGAGAAGGTATCTGTGGGAGAAACGCAGAGTAACGTAGCTGTCAATGGAAACGCAACAGCCCAGTGACGAGGTTTGATAAACATCGAAGCCAGTCTAGGACCTATGGTTGCTAACACTTCGGTCCACTTCGGCATATTGAGTTCCGTGTTTGCTGTGGCAGCAATTGGCAGAAGAAGTATTTCAAGGGCCATACAATAAGCATATTTCAGTTGTTGTCCATGAGATTTTAGAAAGAATCTACCAAGATTGATCATGAAATCGCAAGATTGGTCCCACGCTTCCTCAGGGTATGTCTTGAGACGAATGTGCTTCATACCACCGAGAACTAAAACCATTCGCCCTTCGATGTCCCTGTTCACTGGACTTTTGATCACCAGATCCTTCTGCGACTTCTCGAGGTCTGCTATGAAGCGATCAGTGACACTATCGAAATTGATCTCAGCCATAACGCCAAGTAATTGACTGAACAAGAACCAGTTGGCCATCTTGAGAGGCGAAGTACTCAGTTGATCTGCGTCGGCAATCTTCAGTTGTCCAAAAATAATCCCTTCTAGCTTTTCTTCCATCTCAGGAGTTATACGGGCCAATGTACTCTGGCCAATGACTTCCATTAAGACTCGGCACAGTATAAATATTGAAGCTGTTGATCGTCGTTCTGCTTGAGCGACAAATTCTTGTCGCGCAGCGATAGTTGGCAGACCAGCCATTAGATCGTCTTGGTGCATATGCGGTGGCTCAGTGTCCCTCCGAGGGAGTTGGCCCGGGAGTAAATTGCCGCGAGACTATAGAGTTTCATAAGCAACGGACATAGATACTTGGAAATTTCAAGCATACCTGTTGAAGCTGAATCCTAGCCTCGTTGGCAGCATCACTCTTGTTCTTTCGCCATAGCATCATTGAATCAATGAGAGGCTTAGGTTTCTGGCTTGCGATATGACCCAAAGCAGAGATCAGTTGATCAAATGCCGGGTCTACTCCCATTCCGCATATATGTTCAATTTGAGGTTCTGGGTCCAGTGGTAAAGTAACACACTGTGAGATCTTTTCCTCTGCTTGCGCAATAAACTGGAGCATGACATTAGAAGTTATGCCAACAAAATGGTCAAGGAGGACTGACTGAAGTGAACAAGACATGCAGAGCATACTCGCCAACAGTTTTCAACTCGTCCTTATGATGTCTTGAATGGGAATGATGATGCGCATGATTTCTTCGACTCCTGCCACTATTACTATTACCACGCTCCATATTTCTCTGCATGTTGCCTGATGGCACATTTTCGGCCGCTGAAGGGCTCCGGGAGGGGACAAATGTTGTATTTGAGCTAAAAGAGGTTCCGCTGGTCATGCTGGATGCGCTGGAGGAGAAATTCGAATCGCCCATGACCGATGCATCGGTCCAATCTCCACCTGCAGCAGCAATTATCTGCGGGCTCAGCGGGCTTGTAGATAAACTCCCAAAGCTCCCATTCCTGGACCGCTGTATGCCATTAACGATGCTAGTATTTCGGTGATGGCTCTTCGCATCTGCATCTATAGACCCCCCTCTCGTACTACCTGTGTAGTGTCGCGGTGATAGATTGGCAGGTTGGGAGGGCGATTCGGAGAAAGCGGCCTTAAGTCCTGCGAAAAATGACTGGTTCGCACTTGGCTCTCGAGAGTGAACACCGGATCTCGAGTTGGTGGTATACGAGCGTTTCAAGGTTGCAGGGTACGTAGTCACATCAATGTCGATGGGCGAGAAGTTTTCTGTTATACCTTCAGCACGATGCTCTGGAAATGATGCTTGAGAGAAGTATCAGCAAGGATGTGTCTCATATGTAAATAAGGGCTGGTCCCCTAGAAATGTAATGCAATGCTTTGCGTTAAGTTCTGAGGGTCGGGAAGTTTGAGCTAAAACACCCTACCGGGCGTGGGACTCACTCATTCTGTCACGGGATATAGCCCATATAATTCTCCCTACATTCTCTACTTCCTTGTTCCTCTCATCATTAGACCAGTTGGCTATAGCAATACAGTTGCTGATATCGTCGCAGCTTCAATTGGTACTTTCTCTAAACGTTTTGATGCTCTAAACCTACGATTTGAAGAATATCGCGAATGTTCATAGTAGGTTTTGTGTTAGCAGCCAATGATCGTCCAACCCCTGGAACAGACCCCTGATGCCGCTGAGAGCCAGCCCCAGCCCCAGCCCCAGCCCATGGAACGAACATCTCACACAATGTAAATCGTAGACAGAAAAACCAGTGCATGTACAGGTAGGTAGGTACGTCCAGAATAATTACGTTGCACTTTCACGTGAGCTCAACCCAGCAACACGAGACTAGAATATGGATTGTGCAGATTGTTAAGTATCAGATCAACACTTGCTACTCAGTTCTTCTCTGCATATCAATCATTCATGACTCGGTTGTGATGATTACCTTGAAAGACTAGGAATGTTCAAAATAAGAATCAATAGTGCCTACAACTACTACCTATTGGTTAGATAGAATGCAATTATTAATTATTCCTGTGGTAGTGGTAGTGATACCGGAGTAGAGATGAGCTGGCTGACACGGATCCTTCTCTTCCTTTCCCTTCCCTTTCCACGATTTGCCTAGAGAGCCGGGACGAAAGATCCCATGTCGGTAATCGATAGCGCATTGAGCTGTGTGCTACGTTCTAGATACCTATTCCATATCTCTGAATAGGCAGATACGTGCAGAGTAGATTGATGAATTTCCGGTGAATCCTCCGTTCAAGACGTCTCGAACCTTGAAGGGCTCATCTATTAATACTCACTTACCTATACCCCTTTTGTTGAGAGTATTGACGAAACGGCTGAGATATCTTTCGACTCCACGTTACACAAGCTCTGGGCAATATTGGATGTTTAAGATACCTACCTAGGCAAGGCAAGGCAGCCTAGGCAAGGCAGGTATCGAGTGAGAGAAAAGGAAGAATGAAGCGATTCCTTTCCATCGTGTCGTGCGAGAAATACCATAATCACAAGGTATCTGATAGGGATATATAGAGGATGTGGTAACGGTCACCATGACCAAGCATACTGGCTCATGTCAGCAGGCTCCTGGGTAAGATGACATGATTTTCCTCTTCAAGTATCCAGCATATCCAGCACCACCACTCCAATTTCCTCGGAGTCAATATCCAAATCTGATTGCAGCATCCTCATATACCGGATCCGATATTTTGCTACAAATTCGAAAAGTTGATGATGATGTAAGTATGTATCCCACTCAGCACTCCCTTGTCCTCGCATGATATTACAGCACTGCTCGCATGATACTGTTGTTCTAGATCTACCTTGTACCCAGGTACATATAATTAGAGAAGACAAGGAGTCAAGGACAGCAGTCAATTCCAATTCCGAGGACTCCTAAGGCCGAAGGTCAAAATCATATAACTCCGTTGGTCCCACCAAGTTACACTACCCTCCGAGCCCCCCACTGCGGAATCTCGGATCTTTCCGGCGGCCGGTACATTTGTCACTGTGCGTGCGCCTCAATGGCAATTAGCCCAGTGCCGATATCTCATACCGTGTGGAAATATCTGTGATGAAGGAGGTCTGATATGATGGAACGCTCACCTACCTGCTGCTTATTAGTAGTTTCAAGTTGAGGAGGAGGATGGTGGTTGAGTAGACACGCCGAAAGGAACCGCTTATCCTCGTAGAACAGAAAAACATTGAATATTCTAACTAAGTCTTACATCTCTCTCGAGTCTCTGAATACTACCTACGATGTTTTGTCCACGGAACTACAAGGGGGGCGCATGCCGGAAATTCCATCTCCCTAGAAACCCGGAGTTATAATTGATTGACAGCCAGCCGAGCCAGCATCCAACATGCACACGGAGCACCCAGAGCACACAGAGCACCCAGAGCAAGATGCATAGAAGTTCCCCATCCATGTAGTATATCAAAAGAAACACGGTATAAATGGTACTTTGCTGGGTGTGCTTGTTGCTTCTTCTCTTTCCCATTCTCGTTGTCTTCTTTCCAACAAGCATTGCCCTTCTCCCAGTACCAATCTGGTTACTAGGTACTCAACTATAAAGTTTCACACCTACATATATCTCCTACCTACGTGGCTTTCATCGGCGTCCTTCACTGTCCTTTCCGATCTCCAGCTAGGTAGGTAGGTAGGTACCTACTTTGTAGGTACGAAGCACACCACTCTGCGCCACACATCTCCAGCCACACCCATCGTTTCCAACCTTAGCCCTGGTCCACGTTCCCGAGGTCTTCCATTCACCACCTGGGCAGGCCTGCACCGCCACTTCGACTTTCACATCCATCCATTCACTTCGATCAACATTCATTTCACATCCAAGGTTTGAATCTGGTCATACTTTCGGCGTCTTTTCGGATCTCAAACAAGATTTCGACGGCTTCCGACCGCTTCCGATCCCATTGAACACGTTGCCTTTGATTTTGCCTTTGCCTTTGCCTTTGCCTCCACTGTCTTTCCGCGGCCCAACGACCAACGGGTTAACCGTGCCCTCTGATTAGAAAGTAAGAGAACACTTCTCACACAGACTCGACTCGGCTAGGCTTGTGATTGATCGTCCTCAAAGATCCAAATAGTTTACCGTAGTTACAACCTACATTTTGTTTTGTACATGTGTACATAATAATTTATATCTGGCTCTGGCGATACGATATTTAACCTTATTTCATTTTTCCAAACACAGTCAGCATAGCGGCGACTCAACTCATCAACTAGCCAGGTGTCATTTCTTCTCGGCTCTTGCCTGAGCATAAGTTCACTCATATCCCCTCCGTCGTCTGCGATTATCCTCTCTTTCAAGTTCCTCTGAACAGCCGGCAGATCTTCCAGGTTCAAGATGGGTGGACAACTTGACGTCCTGGACATTGTCGTCCTCGGCGTTTTAGCTTTGGGAACGATAGCATACTTTACAAAGGGAAAATACTGGGGTATCGTGAAGGATCCCTATGCTACCAGTTATGCCGCCACCAATGGGAACAAACCCGCAAAGACAAGAAATATCGTTGAGAAGATGGACGAGTCCAATAAGAACTGCGTCGTCTTCTATGGCTCGCAGACTGGCACCGCAGAAGATTATGCTTCTAGATTGGCAAAGGAAGGCAAGAGTCGTTACGGCTTGGAGACCATGGTAGCAGACTTGGAAGACTATGATTACGACAGTCTCGATACTTTTGGCGAAGACAAAGTCGCAATTTTCGTCCTGGCTACATATGGTGAGGGTGAACCAACCGATAACGCTGTTGATTTCTATGAATTTTTCATGAATGAGGATGTTGAGTTTTCCAGTGGTGAGAAGTCGCTTGCAAACCTCAAGTTCATTGCATTTGGTCTCGGAAACAACACCTACGAACACTACAACTCAATGGTCAGAAACGTCACAAAGGCTCTCGAGAAGCTCGGCGCTACAAGAATTGGTGAAGCCGGTGAGGGAGACGATGGAGCTGGTACTATGGAAGAAGACTTTTTGGCCTGGAAGGACCCAATGTGGACTGCATTGGCTGAAAAGATGGGACTCGAGGAACGTGAAGTTGTTTATGAACCGGTCTTCGCTATCACAAACAGAGAAGAGTTGACAAAGGATTCCTCGGAAGTTTATCTCGGCGAGCCAAACAAGATGCATTTAGAGGGCACATCGAAGGGTCCTTACAACGCTCACAACCCTTACATTGCACCTATTTCTGAATCCAAGGAGCTTTTCAGCGTCAAAGACCGAAATTGTTTGCACTTGGAAATCGACATCAGTGGATCTAACCTCAGCTATCAAACCGGAGATCACATTGCAGTTTGGCCAACAAATGCCGGGAGAGAAGTGGACCGTTTCTTCAATGTTACTGGGCTTTCTTCCAAGAAGGATTCTGTCATTACCGTCAAAGCACTGGATGCAACTGCAAAGGTCCCCTTCCCCACGCCAACTACATACGATGCTATTATCAGATATCACATGGAGATATGCGCACCTGTATCACGTCAATTCATTGCCACTTTGGCCGCCTTTGCCCCCAATGACACCATCAAGGCCGAAATGGAAAAGCTTGGTGGTGATAAGGATTACTTTCACCAAAAGATCAGCAGCAACTATTTGAATATCGCTCAGGTTTTGCAGGAAGTTGGTGGTCAAGAAAAGTGGAGCGCCATCCCATTTTCTGCTTTCATTGAAGGCTTAGGCAAGATTCAACCTCGTTACTACTCTATTTCGTCTTCCTCGCTTGTACAAAAGACAAAGATCTCCATTACGGCTGTTGTCGAGTCGATTGATATTCCTGGGAGAACCGATGCTTTGAAGGGTGTTACCACAAACTATCTCCTTGCATTGAAACAGAAGCAACATGGCGACGACCATCCTGATCCTCATGGTCTCACATACGAAATCACAGGACCACGCAATAAGTATGATGGCATTCACGTCCCGGTACACGTAAGGCACTCCAACTTCAAGCTCCCATCCGATCCATCCAAGCCTGTCATCATGATTGGTCCTGGAACTGGTGTTGCCCCTTTCAGGGCATTTGTCCAGGAAAGAGCTGCACAGGCAAAGGCTGGCGAGAATGTTGGTCGAACAATCTTATTCTTTGGATGTAGAAAGTCTACAGAAGATTTTATGTACAAAGATGAATGGAAGGTGAGTACATCCTCTTTCCTCTCAAGAATGAAATAGAGGAGCAGTTTGGCTAACATTTCACCAGGAATACGAAGAAGCCCTTGGCGACAAGTTCTCGCTCATTACTGCATTCTCTCGTGAGGGCAAGGAAAAGGTCTATGTCCAGCACCGTCTCAAGGAACACGCCAAAGAAATCAACGATCTTCTCATGCAAAAGGCCTACTTCTATGTTTGTGGTGATGCCGCAAACATGGCTAGAGAAGTCAATACTGTTCTTGGTAAAATCATATCAGAGCAACGTGGCATCCCAGAATCAAAGGCTGAAGATGTTGTAAAAAGTATGCGATCCGCCAATCAATACCAGGTATGTTATTTTTAAGCTTTTACCTTCCTTTCTGCATTGTCTACTGCTCCATCAAGTTGTCCGCCACTTCACTCGACTACTTGGATGATGGATTGCGATAATCGGAGCAACTCCAGCTACGAGGTCTTCACCAATTCTATCACTTGCCGTACCGCCTTCAACATTTAAAGTCTTTCTTGTACAAACATAATCTAACATAATTATAGGAGGACGTGTGGTCATAAATACATTATTTTCGTTTACACACGTATCTGTGCCTCGAAAAATTTCACTCATCTTCCATATCCTACACTGCTATCAGCCCCCGAACCCACTACGCCTCTCTTTTCTTCTTCAGCAAAATCTTTCTAGAAATTTCCACTCCTCTTTGATAATTACCGAATGTGATGTTGAATGCCATGCGGTCATCCAGCTCGCCTGCATAGTTTGCCTCTACCACACCTTGTAATCGCTTGCTTGTTTGCTACCTCACGCGCACAAAACTATCAAGCTACCGAATCGGATCATTGGCTCGAAGATCTATCATTTACTTGAGACTCGAAAGCAAAGTAAACCTCGTCTTTTTTCCTTTACAAAATCGAGCACAGTATTTGCAATGGGTGGATCTAGACAGATTTGGATGGAGTTTGATTTTTTTGACAAACGGATCTACCTACTCGAGGCTTGATCGTTTGTTTGCAAGGATTGGATTTAGACTGTGATGTGTGCTATGATCTTTTCACACGGAGGTTTCTAACGAATAGTTATGAATGAAATGGAGCGAACGGCACGGAACACCACGGAGGCTGGCTGGGATGCAACGAGAAGGGACGGGGAGGGGAAGAGAAGCTTGTCACTGGTTCGTTATTTACAGCCAGTAAATTACTTACGATGCACGCATGAGAACATAGAAAGCAGATCTCATATGTATCTTTTTTTAAGTCTCTTTTTCAAACGTTTTTCTTGTTAGATAGGTTGGGTGGTGTACCTAAAGTACTTAGGTAGTCGATATACCAATTAGAAAGATTTAAAATCACTACTTTTGTGTATTGATGGGTATATCTCGAGCTTGCGAGACGAATGATCTTTAGAGAATGCTTTTGCCGAGTAGAAGAAAACGTTATGCAAAAGTCAAGAATTAGATGCTGATAATTTATGAGCAATCTCTCTTACCACAGTTCAGAGACAGTCTCAAAGCATCGACAACTCATATTAGGGCTGTGGAAGAACGAGTATGTAGTTGGCTACCTACCTACCTAGTAGTTTATTACTATCCAAAGCATCCACCTAGGTAGGTATCTCATTTAAGTAGTGTTAGCATTCATCATTATTAGCATGTGAAAGTTTTAGAATTCGAAAGTTAAGATGTTAAGATGCTACGATGTAATTAGAACTTAGGTTAGACTTTAGGGTTAGGCAAACTCAAGATTTTTAGCATTTCATCAAGGGTTTGT